GATATCTTTAAAACAGGAGCAGCTAGGATTTCAATTCAAAGGGATTCTTAACCTAAAAATATCAACAAATACAACCCTGCTTTCAGTTTTTGTCGACATTTTTATGCAACCTATCTTTGCTTCCTGCCCACCGTGTGTAGCAGCAGAAAGGGATCATTAGAGGTGCAATAAGTTGCAGCTGGAGCGCCGGTGATAAAAGCTCGTCGGTTGCTGAGGTAAGGCATGAAGAGGAATGGGTTGAGGCTGGAAAGCCGGGGAAGAAATCTTGTGTGAGCAAATCGAAGAGCGGAAGGCGATAGCGGTAGCGTACATCGAGGACGTGAGCGTGCGTGGGATGTTGCAGACTATGCAAAGGTGAACGAGAGTGTGAGCTTGTATGTTGTTGGTACTAGGAAACAGTAGTTGAAGTTTTATGTCTGGTGGTAGGCATAGAGGAGGCACTAAAGCCAAAAGCTAATTCCCTTGAGCGCGGCAGCTATAGTAGAGCCTGGTTGCAGTTGACGAGACGCTCGGCATTGATTAAATTTTATGACTTTTCTGACCTAGTACAAGTGAAAAGGATAAAGAGATTGGTAATTGCCTGCAAGCCAATATTCATTCAAAATCAAGAAGTTTTTTTATGATTGATTTAAAAGAGAAATTATAAGGTTTTGTTGAAAGCTAGATGAGGGATCAGAAATGCTGAGATTATGAATAAAAGTGAGTAGAGATAAATAGAGAAGTTCACAAAATATGCCAAATTGAAAAAGGAGTAGTGTTTTTTATTCGAGGACGAATGAAACGCAGGATGGCCCAAGGTGGGATTGGNCTGACCTAGTACAAGTGAAAAGGATAAAGAGATTGGTAATTGCCTGCAAGCCAATATCCATTCAAAATCAAGAAGTTTTTTTTATGATTGATTTAAAAGAGAAATTATAAGGTTTTGTTGAAAGCTAGATGAGGGATCAGAAATGCTGAGATTATGAATAAAAGTGAGTAGAGATAAATAGAGAAGTTCACAAAATATGCCAAATTGAAAAAGGAGTAGTGTTTTTTATTCGAGGACGAATGAAACGCAGGATGGCCCAAGGTGGGATTGGTTTACGGGCAGTACTTACGATGCTAGGACTAACTGGCCATTAAGAGATAGTAACTTAGAGATGCAGCACTACATAACGAATAAAGGAATATAACTGATCGAAATATTTGACTAAAGTTTAGACGAGATCGATACGAACAGGACGACTTGACATTACATTGTCAGCCATCATTAAGCGCAGACCAATGTTCTGCTAGTGTTAAGTTGTTAAATTGTATTATACCCGCTTTGTTAAATAAACTTTATGTTGTATTAAATTATTAAACTAAATAACCGCGTTTATATATAAGAGGGAAGGACATTCCTACATGTACATAGATAGTTCTGATACCAGAGTACTTGAAAATAAAATTGTGAAAAATGAAAGGAAATATGGGAAGAAAGAGACGTTACTCCGTATTATCAACTACTGCAAACGGCCAAAGCTTGGCCGATTTTTGCTGTTGGTAAGGCACTCGAAGTGAGAACAGCTTTGAGAAAATAAAAAAAACAGCTGCGCAAAAAGTAATCAAAATAGAGCAAAAATCAATAATTTGCAATACTATAATGATTCGCTCATTTTTATTTAAAAAGTGTCAACAATTTGGAGAAAGAAACAAAAGCAACTTTGCCCAATCTCGCTTGGTTACGTTTCAACGGTTGTTTATTAATTTTGACAGCTGCTATTTTCTGCTAGAGAAATTAGCAGATGAGGCAAAAAAAAAAATAAGAACGAGAGAGAGCTGCTGGTTTTCGTTTTCCGGCAAAAACTAGGGATAATTATCTGCAAAGAAACAAAGCGTGGGTAGCCCAACACGCTTCGGTGGGAGTCCCACACTCGCGGAAGGTAGTATAGAGACTAGCGTCCCCGGCCAGTGCATAAAGCATTTCTCTCTCCTACGAAAAAAAAAATTTAATTTATATTTGGTCGTAATGAAAAAATCCTGTGGGAAGTTCAGTAAGTCTCTTTCGCGAACTGATGCTAAATTTGGTGCCGTGCAATAGATTTTGTAAAAACACCTTTCATTTCAAAACTAGTCGTCACTTGATGTATCTGAAGAATGTGTTCTTATGCCGGAGAAACTGTGTAATGTGATTTCGAAGTTGTATGCTTTTGATAAACAGCCGTGTTTCAGTCGCTTATTCAGATCCATATCTACCACCAGAGAATGTTAATTTAATGAGAAGGCGCAAATGTTAACTAACATTTTTTTCAAGAACTAATTTGAAAATGTTAGATGCGGGAGTTCACCACTGAGATCAAGGAGTTCGCCACACCAATTTTAACTACCATATTCTATGGTGAAATGTGAGGTTTGTGGCAAATTTAGAAAATTACCTGCCGTTAGTGACACATATGTAGTTGCAAATTTATGCCGACAGCTTGAGAGCAGTGTTGCCATTTGAACAGTTTTCCGGCTAGATTTAGCCGGATGTGATAGCAAACAGCCGGAGAAATTTCGATTTAGCCGGCAGCCGATTTGTTAGCCGTTTTGCAGAAAAAAATTAGCCGCTTTTATCCGATTTTGCTATTTGCCTTGTTTTCTTAAATTTAAAATATGTATATATGNGAAAATTACCTGCCGTTAGTGATACATATGTAGTTGCAAATTTATGCCGACAGCTTGTGAGCAGTGTTGCCATTTGAACAGTTTTCCGGCTAGATTTAGCCGGATGTGATAGCAAACAGCCGGAGAAATTTCGATTTAGCCGGCAGCCGATTTGTTAGCCGTTTTGCAGAAAAAAATTAGCCGCTTTTATCCGATTTTGCTATTTGCCTTGTTTTCTTAAATTTAAAATATGTATATATGTTTCCATTTTTGACTAAGCTACCCAAAATCTGTTATAAATGGCTACTAGACTTATCGTGGAGAAAATTTTCATGTCAGGCAGGATTGTATGAAATTGGGCCGTTTTCCCTTATTTTTATTTTAAACGAAGAAGGGATTTTCTTCATAAAATGTTTGTTATAAATGTCTTAATTTTAAGTGTGAAGTTTTATTCGCAAACTTAGAATATAAGAAATTGTTTCACTGTTAAGACTCTTAAGATGCTTTTGTGTTTGGATATAGTGCCAACAAACAGAATTACATGTAGATATTGTCTTCCCAGATAGCGCATATTCAATTCTGCTTAAATTAAAAAAACATAATTTTTGCCCACTCCCAAAGGTTTAAGGTAATGGAAAAATTTATGTTTTCAATCACTATGTACACATAAGTATTTTTTTAAACAAACGTTTTTGCTGAGAACTTATTCAAATTCCAAAAACCGAATGCCGACTTGAATTAAAGGAACCAACACTGAAGTGAGTCAAAATGAAAATAAAAGAGCACACATTTTATGTAAAGCTCTTCCGGCCATATTACCGGTCATCTAAATAGGAGATCTGCAGCCTTTTAGCACCATATTTTACATCAGAATTAAAGGGATTTCTGAAAAATCTGACCAGTTCTTTTGTGTAACTGTGATTTTGCATCCCTTGTCAACATATGGCCTCGGTTGATGTTAACTTAAGGTCGTTGTTTTACTGCCTTAAAATTGAAGGGAAATTTTTACAGCGTTTTTTATGTGTATTGGTTTCTATTTGAGTGTATTGAGAATCGGTCAGTCTGAAAAGGCCTTGTAGGGAAGACAATAGGTTTGTTCGTCGAAAATCCAGCGAGAATTATCACTCAAAATATCAGATAGTAATAGTAATAAATACTTTTTTTCCCGAGTACCTTGCAAATCATTGGATTTAACTAAATTAGTTAAGTAAACAAGTATTAACTTACATTTTTCGTTTTAAAATCGCTCCAGTTTGTAAATTTTTAAATTTAACGAACTTGTTTATTCAAATTATCGTAGACAAAAAATCCAACCATGTGTCACAATCATACGTTTTTCCTAATTGCAAATTCATGCTGGCAAAATTGTTTCCGGCTTCTCTACAAGAAATAGTCTTTTTACTCGTGATTTATTTAAATAAAACATGTGAAATTTAGTTGAAANTCTGAAAAGGCCTTGTAGGGAAGACAATAGCGAGAATTATCACTCAAAATATCAGATAGTAATAGTAATAAATACTTTTTTTCCCGAGTACCTTGCAAATCATTGGATTTAACTAAATTAGTTAAGTAAACAAGTATTAACTTACATTTTTCGTTTTAAAATCGCTCCAGTTTGTAAATTTTTAAATTTAACGAACTTGTTTATTCAAATTATCGTAGACAAAAAATCCAACCATGTGTCACAATCATACGTTTTTCCTAATTGCAAATTCATGCTGGCAAAATTGTTTGCGGCTCGATTTGTAGCTTTTCTCCAAGAAATAGTCTTTTTACTCGTGATTTATTTAAATAAAACATGTGAAATTTAGTTGAAACATTTTAGACGTTTTTAGCCGGTTTTATTTGCCAATTTAGCCGGTTCATCCAAAAAGTTCTGGCAACACTGGTACGCATCACATGCAAATACATGCGAGAGCGTAACAAAGCGAACGCAAATTCATTCAAACGTAATGTTGCCATTTTAGCCGTTTTCCGGCTAGATTTAGCCGGTTACGATAGCAAACAGCCGGAGAAAATTCAGTTTAGCCGGCAGCCGATTTGTTAGCGGTTTTGCAAAAAAAAATTAGCCGGTTTTAGCCGATTTTGCTATTTGCTATTCGCCTTATTTTATTAAAATTCAAATATACAAGTTTTTATTTTTACAAATTTAGTGATCAAAAATCTATTAGAAATGGCTAGTCTTATCCCTGAGAAAATTTTCATGTCGGGCTGTGTTATATAAAATTGAAAAATAATTTTTTCTAACCCGAAAAGTCTTCAGACAGTGAGCCGATTTCAATGTTTTTTTGTTTTAAGCGAGTGACCCAATTACATATAAACTGGGACGCGCCATTTTAGGTGATTAGAAAGTCACAAATTTTGCTGAAATTTTGCAGAATTTTCATAATTTTTACACAAAGTCTAAAATCTGGTTGTAGTATATGGTTTTTGTTAAGTAATGAGCTACATATTCGTAAAAAATAACAAACATTAAATAAACTAAAGAAAAATAGGCGAAACTTGCTTCAATTTTTGTTAAGAATGTCTTAAATTTAAGTGTGAAGTTTTACGCGCAACACTTAGAAAATAAAATAGCACAAATTTCGATGTGGAGCAAAACCCTCTGGGGAGACAATACTTGTGAAGAATTGCATCATAGCGCAAATATACTTTATTTTTGTTATCATTGTTATTTCCGAGTTGGTGGCCTTCAGCCGCACTAGAAGAAATAACCTCATCAGTCCAACTCCGGTTACGCCATCCACAGTATTTTTGCGCAAAATCCATCTCCAAATTTACAATAAATGTGCATATTTCAAACAGAAATCTTTAATTTAAATTAAAGCTTAATCCATTTGCTAGACGTATATGTAAAATTTTTATTTATTCGGGACCCGTGTTTGGACACGATAACCCAAAATCATTGTACAAATAACTGTCTTACTTATGGATTTTTCTATAAGCAAAAATTTTATAAAATGAAACTGCAATAGTTTTCATCTTATGTGGATAAATCTTGTTACAAATACATAGTTTCGTGCTTATATTATGTATATATATTATTTATCAGAAAATTCTGAGAATCCAAAAATTGGTTTTAACTCGACCTCCTTCCTGTTCCATGGATAACGGTATATCTTTTAGAGGTTAAAAAATATTTTGCGTCAGCAATTTTTCGAATCTTTTCTCAGGTGTACCGAATTCTGACAGATTGGAAACGCGACACTTTTAATATTTTAATCCAACTTCACTAACTTTATTTTTTGTTTACTAGTACAAGAATCAAAATTTTGTCTACTAGTGAATCTGGTGGCATGATTTTAGTTAAATGTCATAAACTTGTTAAAAGTTCGGCAACAACAACGAATGTTAATATATTAAACTACCTTCTGTGTTTGAATCATGGCGTTTTCTCTTCTCGAAATAATGTTTCTCTGTTTTCCTCAGCCCTTTCACAACTTTACGTATTCAATTCTCAATATATTGCCCTCCGCCTAAGCAAAAGTGCCATACTTTTTGCTAATATTGTCATTTTGCGGGACAAAAAGCAACCTACTGCAAATGTTACAATATTTATAAGAAGGCAGGTGACTCTAGAAGAGGGGGTGGGGGACCACTCCGACTTTTCCGACACCATGGTGGATGGAGAAGGGGGGGAGGATATCCTTTCTGACGAAGAGGACGTCAACCAGACTGTGGTTGGCTGTCCAGCAGCAGCACGCGAAACTGACGGTGGGGATAGTTCAGATTAATCTCCACCACTGCAAGGCGGCCTCAGCCGCACTTCTCCTCCGTCTCGCCGAAGAGAAGAGGAGATCGCACTCATCCAGGAGCCTTGGGTCATAAAAGATCGGGTTTGTGGATTGAATATGAAAGGATATAAGCTGTTCTATGTAAATGACAAGGGTAAACCCAGGTCGTGCATATTGATAAAAAAGTGTATTAATGCATTTCTCTTGATACAGTTTAGCGATGCGGACAACGTCATCATAGCAGTGGAATCAGGCGGAATGTCTATTTGGCTGGCTTCCACATACATGACCCACGACGCAGACACACTACCTCCACCACAATCCTTAAGGAGCGCGGTAATGGAGGCTTCTAGACGCGGCACTCCGATGGTCATAGGAGCGGACGCGAATGCCCATCATCACATATGGGGCAGCTCAGATACAAATGAACGCGGTGAGTCGATATTCGAATTCATTATGTGCAATAACTTACAGGTTAGCAACGTAGGTGATACCCCTACCTTTGTGACGTCTGTTAGAAGGGAGGTCTTTGACATTACATGTGGCAGAACTCTTGAATGACTGGAGAGTCTCAAAAGACAACTCCTTTTCAGATCACATGTACGTCGTTTATAACCTATACGTACCAGTAAGAAAACAACAAGCGGTCTTAAACCGCAGAAAAACAAATTGGAAAAAATTTGAAACAATATTTTCTAATAATATTTCCGACCTCACAAATCAAATAAACTCGGAACATCAACTTGATAACGTCGTAGACGATATAACTAAAGCATTTCATCGTGCAGCAAAATTAGCCTGCCCAATCAGGGCAACAAGTAGGAAACCAAAACCTCCATGGTGGTCCACTGAAATTGCAACCCTCAGAAGGGAATGCAGATCAAAATTTAATGAAGCTAAGAGATCCAACTCTTGGAGTGAATTTAAAGACTGGCAACGCCGATTTAAGTATGCAATAAGAGACGCTAAGCGCTCCTCATGGAGGAACTTCTGTCAGAAGATAGAAAGTACTTCGGAGTCCAGCAGACTGCGCAAAATACTATCTATAAGTCCCAGCAATATTAGCTATCTCATCAAGGAGGATGGTGATTGGACAACTAGCAGCGAAGAAACTCTAGAGCTTCTTGTACAGACGCACTTTCTGGGTTGCCTCCACAGTAGAGTCACAAATACCCGAATCATAGGCAACCATGATGACATTCCAGTGAATATCATAACCGAGGAGAACATAAAACGTGCTATTAGCAGCTTCCAACCGTTTAAATCTCCGGGACCAGACGGCATTATACCCGCTGACCTACAGCATACAGCAGGAATGATTGCACCCATACTCGTACCAGTCTTTGAAGCAGTGTTACGAATGAATTATATACCCCACAAATGGGAGGAGGTAAGAGTAGTTTTCATTCCCAAGGCAGGGAAAACTACGCACACGAGACCAAAAGACTTCAGACCAATTAGTTTGTCGTCTTTCCTGTTGAAATCTCTAGAGAGATAATAGATGGGCACATTAGAGACAAGGTGGGCAGCAAACTTTCGGCAGCCCAACATGCCTACAACAAAGACATCAGTCGAAACAGCACTCCATTCTTTGGTGCACACAATTGAAAGATCACTTTATTGCAAAGAATACACCCTCGTGGCCTTCCTGGACATCGAGGGTGCTTTAACAATGTATCTCCTGCAGCGATTTCTCATCTCTGATAAATCTGGGAGTAAGCAATTCACTAACCTCATTTATTGAACGAATGTTAATCGGCCGAGAAATAAGCGCAGGATTAGGTGAATCAGTAATAAAAAGGTTCCCCGTCAGGGGTACACCCCAGGGGGGAGTAATATCACCGCTCCTGGGGAACATAGCAGTAGACAGCCTTCTTCGGGAACATGAAGACATTGGCGGTCAGATAATTGCATACGCGACGATATTGTAATAGCTATCTCGGGTAAACATCTCTCAACATTGACAGATCTGATCCAAAGATCCCTCAACAAACTATCCCTGGTGTACACGGATGGGTGATGAAACGACTGGCTGTTAGGAAGCACAAGATACCTGATCTCGGGAACATAACTCTAGAGGGCAACACCCTCGCAATAAAGGAAGAGACAAAATATCTAGGTCTCATAGTAGATAGAACCAAACTGGGGGCCCAACGTTGCAAATAGAGTGCGCAAAGCAACAGTGGCACTATATTCCTGCAGCAGAGCAATAGCGAAAGAATGGGGGATGGAACCCAAAATAATACACTGGCTTATACGGCGGTGTTAGGCCAATTCTCTATCACGGTATAGTGGTATGGTGGAACAACCTTGAGGGTAGCTTAGATGACGGTCAAAGGTTGGCAATAAACGGCTGGAACATCCACTATGTACGAATTTCGACACATGCAGCAAGCGCAATTGTGAACTTCTAAAATGGTAATACGTTAGTGTAGTTTCGGAGTCCGGGCACCTGGACTTCACTGAACCGCCCCTAGGTCGCGACCCACTAGAAGAGTGAGCATCGTGGAGAGCACCGATACACAAGGTCACAGCTGGGGTGGAGTGTTTCCCTCACTGGAATTCTGCTTTCGTCTCCCGACTGTAGGGTCAGCGAACTAGCAATCGAGGGCCACGAAACGAAGTGTGATATGATACCCCAAGTTGATATCTATATCTTCACTGACAGCCAGGCGGCAATAGAGTCCCTCACGAAGCAGTCGACAACCTCCATGGTAGCCATGAAATACCGCGCATCTCTTAACGAGATGGCTGAGTCATTTCGCCCAAAGGTAATATGGGTTCCGGGAACTGCGGCATAGAGGGGAACTGTAAGGCCGAGAACTGGCGCGACTTGGCATCGAAACTTCCTTTTGAGGATATAAATGACGAAATAGGAATACCCTTGCAAACTTGTAAGCTACTTATCTCCGAGAGGCTCACTAAAGTAGCGAACGAAAGGTGCGGCGAAATCCTGCAAAACTGCCAAACAATTATGGCCGGTGCTCAGCGTCAAACGCACTGGCCTACTACTGAGTCTAAATAAGTCCAATATTAGATTATTAGTATCCGTCATAACAGGACACTGCCTAATTGGCAAGCACGCCTATCGACTTGGCCTACGTTCACATGACTTCTGTATAAGTTGTCAAGATGAAGAAGAGGAGGAAACGTTCTGCACCTGTTGTGACAATGCCCTGCTCTATCTAGACGAAGACTCCCACTCTCGGTAGGCAATTCTTCGACAACTTGGGGGACCTTAGATGCGTCGAAATCAGGGATCTTCTAAAATTCGTTCAAAGTTCAAAATGGTTTTAGGTGGGATTGGGAGTTGCTGACCCAACATGCGGCATCACAATGGGCCCTGAGCCTAAGTAACTTAATCAAATATTTACTAGTTAATTATATTATTTAATTGTACAAGTTCGCCATCCTTTGCTACCAAAATGCGTTTACCATAATTCATACTGCTCGACGAAGCCAACACACAGTGGTTCAAAAGTGGAATTTGATGTTCCTAATGCACCGGAGCCTTAATTTTTCAACAAATTTTTACTAAACACTAAAAAATATTTATTTTGGTGAAAATACCATACAATTGTTTTTAACTAGTTTTTTTTTTTATGTAACATTTATTAACTGGAACGGGAGCATACATTTTGTTCAAAATTGCCACTTTGTAAAAATTTAATATAATCAAATAAGAGTTCAGAAATCAGGCTCAACTGGTCTCTTGCAAATATCGTAAGCTTTTATAAAAGAAATAAAATATAATCAAATTAAGTGAAAAATGAAGGCTACAGTGAACTACGAACACTAAATGCCAGTTTTGAACCACTGTGCCGTAGGGGGTTTATTTTTCTACTTCAGTGGAACTAGAAACTAAGCATGCAACACGATCCTGGACACAACTTTCCCTGTGCTTTATAGATTGTACAAAGATTACGGATTATATAGAAACCCTTAGGTGGGGTGCGAAACAAACTGGCAAAGGTTTTCATTATATTTTATAAGGGACATTTTTATTTTTCATATTCTGCGTTTAAAAATTTACCTCTGGAAAATTCAGAGCCGATTTAAAGGACAGTTTAAGACATAAAGGACAAAATGCGTCTTTATCTTGAAAAAAGTTATAAAGGACAGGCGGTTAAAATAAAGAACTGTCCTTTAAAATAAAGGACGGATGGTCACTGTACTCATATACAGCGTGGCGACGAATAACTGTTACCCCAGTTTTTTTGAGAAATAAAAGGGTCCTTTGTAGATTTTGGGAAAAAGTATTTTATTGTTAATTTTCCACAGATTTTACTTTAGTTGAATTAGTTAGTTATTAAATTTTAATCCTATTTACATTTGCCAACAGTTTGAACTTTGAGAGAAAAGTTCATTTGGCACGCAAGTCTTTTTAGGTGTATTTTTTCTTAGGCTTTGTACAAAAAAAATACAAAAAAGAAAAAAACTTTTTAAGGTTGGTCGAATGAATCGCCGTCCTAGTCACCAGTTCCGAGTCTATTCGATTTTTAAGTATGAGGCCTTATGTTGGACAAAAGGGGAAGTATAAGGAACTCAAAATGGAGCAAATTTGCCTATGGTTACAGAAGATATGGAATAAATTAACTGGCGAAGACCTGCATGCCAAATTAAGTTTTGTCTCAAAGTTTACACTGCTGGCAAATGTAAATAAGGATTAAAATTCAAAAACTTATTAATACAAAAAATTTGTATGCACATAAAGTCTACTAAACACACCAATAAAAATTTGGAGATTTTTCAAATTCAAAACTTGGCAACACTGCCTGTTGCTCGTTTCTTCCCCTTCTCCTTGTTGAGTTCGTTTTTGCTCTCGCATTCTGGTATTTGTTGACGTCACGCCCGGTTGCTCTCAGCTCGATTGGCGCAATCTTGTATTCTATCATTCTAGGCTTGGCCTAATATAAAAATAGGTTTGTATAGTAACTTCTCCAGTAAAACATTGCAGCGAGAGCGTAAAAGCAAAATAGAGCGTAAAATTGAGAAGAAGAGTAAACTAGCAGAAAAAGTTATGAACACAAAACTAGCAAAAACTTGCAAGTGAACAGTCGTTGCACTGTTTTGACATTCTGCTGTAAACATTTTACTATTTATAAATCAGTCTGCTTTACACACAAGTACTTACACAGTCACAATATTTTGATTTAAACTCCTTTTACTTTTGTTTGTGCTAAACCAATTCAACAAATGGCGGCTTTTGACATTTATTCTTCTTCTTCTTCTGCTAGCTAATTTCTGCTAGTAAAAATTTCACTAGCAAGAATTTGCAGATCTTCGGTGTTGTTACGCTCTCGATTCAGTGCTCTCTTGCAAATTTTTTGGGTTATCATACACTTTTCCAGTAAAAATTTGCAGGTTCCAGTGCAAATTAGTACGACTATTGGTTACTATACAAACCAAATGTATATGCTCAAATTTGCTTTTTTAGGTACATTGATAAAGGGAAATTTTTTCAGAAAATTAAGGACCAGTAGCAAAATGTGATTTCCCATTTCTAAGTATATACCATTTGTTGAGATCAGCGCCATCTACCGAACTTGTTCGAAAAATTTTATAATTAGCAAGAACACCACCTTATGAAATAGGGGGAAATTTTTGCTTTTTGTGGCAGGCCAAGATGTTTATTATCATATTCAGTGGGTTTTGTCGAAGGCTGAGGCAGAGAACTTTGATCAGAGAATGTTAATGGTATTACCTTTGTAACTTTGCAACACTGTAAACTCTTGCGAATAATGACTATTGGATATTTTGCTTTATATAATATACGATAAAAACTTTATTATACAAAAATTTTATTTTTCGCTCGCGGTAGACCTTCCGGTGGGAATGCCCATATGTGTATATACACATGTGCACATTTAAATAAATTGAAATGTATGAACATAAGGGTTTTTTTTTTTGAGAAAATAATGTAGTTATTGAGCTTATGGTCCCTTGAAGTGGCCACAATGTAAAATATCAAAGGGACACAATGCCAACGATATTGATATTTTGTTGATTTCAATGATTTTTGGTTAGGTCTCCAGTAGCTCG